ATGGGTTGGTTCCTGGGGGCGCCTTCTCACCAGGCTCTCACATCCCCTTCTCAAAGCACTTTTATATCACTCCCTAAAAACTCTATCCTCATCCTTATTTAGCTTATTTAGCTCAAACTGACTTCCTCTGAAAGGGATGAGAGGATTCACTATTTAGCGCGCGCGCGCGCGTGTGTGTGTGTGTGTGTGTGCGCGCGCGCGCGCACGCATGTGCAGGGACAGCAGAGCAGGACCCACCCTGGGTTTGGCATGAGCGTTGCCCCTTTTGCTGGCTGTTGCTGCCTGGATCACTGAATTTTTGCCCCTTTGCCTGAGACTTCAGTTTTGACCTTTCTGTACTTTTCTCTAACAGGCAACCATTGGCATTGACTTCTTGTCAAAAACCATGTACTTAGAGGATCGTACGGTGAGTGCTTAACTTGAGAACTGGGAAGACAAAGAGGGCTCCTTTGGGCTTATCACCTGGACCCTTAGCTGGGCACCACTGAGAACCCGTGCCTGCCCCAGAGCTGGCAGTGCCAGTATCACAGAGCCAGGGCACCCCCCCACACAGCTGTGACTCCTACATGAGGACCCCACTGCCCCTGCTGACCCCCTTGCCCTCCCTGCAACAGGTGCGACTGCAGCTCTGGGACACAGCGGGCCAGGAGAGGTTCCGCAGCCTGATCCCCAGCTACATCCGGGACTCCACCGTGGCCGTGGTGGTGTACGACATCACAAGTGAGTGTGGGTCCTGGGTGCTGGAGAGAGGGTGGCTCACAGGGGCTCCAGGGCCTGAGTGGAGCCCTGACCAGGCTGCAGCCTCTTGTGTGTGTGCGCATTGTGTATGCATGTCTGCACACTCGTGCGTGCTTATGCCTGAGTGCAGGAAGGCAGCTGCCCTGAAACCGCCTTGCCTCCCCTGGCGTTGGTCTGCTCCAGAGGCTGCCTCTCCCTCCTACTTGTAGACCTGAGGGTTCTTTTCAGAAACCCCTCTGGCCTTTTCCTGAGCCCCCTTGAACTCCCTTTGGTGAGAGTCTCTCTGTAGGGCCTTCCTCCCCTAGGGGCTGCTGTTGCCCCCCGCCACGGCTTCCAAGGTCAGCCAAGTCCAGCGTGCCCATTATCACTCTGCTCTGAGCCTCCGGAGTCAGGTCTAACTCTCAGGTGGGCCTTTAAAGCTGCGCGTCCACATAGCAAATCCTGACACAGCGGCCTTCCAGACGGGGTGACTTCTCCCCCTCAGAGGGTGGCTCAGTGATGCAAGGGGCTCTCCAGGGCCCCAGGGCAGCAGCTCTACAAACACAAGTGGACCTCCTGTGGAAGGCCCGGACGTACTGTCCGTGTGGCCTGTGCTCCTGCCCTCCTGCTCCTGGTCTCACGCCCCACCCCACCTTTACCCTCTCTTGCTAGGAGCTGGATCTCACTCTGTTTTATCCCCACTTTTCACCTCCAGACCTCAACTCCTTCCAGCAGACCTCGAAGTGGATCGACGATGTCAGGACAGAGAGGGGCAGCGATGTTATCATCATGCTGGTGGGCAACAAGACAGACCTGGCTGACAAGAGGTAGGGGCAGGAGCTGGCGGGCCTGGGCCCGCCCTCCATACCTCTGCAGCTCCTCCTGGACAAGGAGCTCTGGGATGCGTGGGGGTGAGCACCCTGTCTGACCTGTCCCCATGCATCTGGGAAAGGTCCCCTGCGGGTGCTAGAGGCGTTGAAAGTCCCTGGTAGGCCCATGGCTGTCTCATCTCTGAAGCCCCACCTTGCACTGCCGGCAGACGCAGGGCAGGGCCACTCCTCTGTGTGTAGCCTGTATGGAGCCCTGTGTGTCTGGCTCAGCCTAGCAGTGCATGGTCTGGAACCTGGCCATGGCCACGGCACAGCTGCAGACCCCGCAGGCCCTAGGGTTCCCGCCAGCTTTTGCTCGCACTTTGTATCCCTGCCTCCAGTGAAATGTCCGTGCTCGTGTGGGTATGGGCATGAAGGCCCTGGTCCCCTGGTGTTAACCTCAGAATTTCCTGGCCCATTGCTGTGTCTGGGTGTGACGCTTTCAAGAGGCTGCCCCAGGGCACAGGGCTAACTTAGGTGCCACTTATATGCATTTGTCTGCCCATCTCAGGGGACCCAACTTGATCAAATAAAGCAACAGGTCGTGGGTTGTGGGCTTCTTGAAAAGTTCTCTGGCCATTTAAGGAATAATCTGAATTAGAGCCTACTTTATTAGAATCCTGTCCTTGAAGAAAACTGGGCTTAAAGCCTAGCACCTTCACCAAGTAGCTCTGTGACCTTGGGAAAGTCACTTTTAACTTCAGTGTCTTCATTTGAAAGATGGGACTGATGTTACCACCCCCTTTGCCCCCC